ACCTAAACCCTAAACCTTATAAGCCCTATAAACCCTGAACCCTAAGCCCTCTAGCCCCAAATCCTGTCAGAGACATATGCTTCAGGAAGTCTCAACTTGATGATTTCCGGGGGTTCCAAGAACTCAGCAAGCTCATGTTGCATGGTTTCTGAGCTCAAGAATCCCAAGCGGCGAGTCCACAGAGCCTTTTCCGGGCACCTGGAGTCGAATGAAGAATTAGGATTGGGGGTTTAGGGTTTAGGGTTTAGGGTTTAGGGTTTAGGGTTTAAAGGGCATTGCCCTGTTCTACGGCCGAACAGGTGGATGGATTTGGGGCTATTCAAGGCTCATGCGTAGTACAGTTTGCAAGAACCCCAAAAATGAGGGCGTAACCAGAACCATGGTACCCTGAGCCCTCTTAGAAGCGCTCATGAACCCCCAAGGGCCGGCTTGCGCTTCCTTTCTGCGGTTGTCTCGCTCAGCACTGGCCTTGAAAGACCCACCGTCCTTGGAGGAGTCTGACAAACATGGCGCCCGTGGAGGCTCCCGCGTTCTGAGATTTGTGGGGTTGTGGGTCTGGTTTTTCAGTTTAAAGGGTTTAGGGTTAGGGTTTAGGCGGTTGGAATCTACACAAGATAGCCCAGAAACCGTCCTTTTAGAATAGGGCCATGGCGCCGTTTCATCGTAAAAGAAGAGTCCCTGGAGCCCAGGCCCTAAGCAGTAAACCCCAAGTCCCAAATCCTAAGTCCTCTGATTCCCTACAACCAGCAAGGCCCTAAAAGCCTGCAAGCCAGAACCTGTCGGCCGGAGCCCCAAAGTTTTGTGTTTAGGGTTGGGGGTTTAGGGTTTGGCGCTCAAAACCATCAGAGTTTGAGCAACACGACGCCACAAAGCCTAAATCCTGGTGATTCGACCGCCCCACACCCTGAACTCTACACTTCAACCCCAAACCCTCTAATCACACAGGAGCCTGTTCATTTTGCATTCAAGGCAGGAACTGTACCTCAATCGTTGGTCCCTTTCCCTCATTTAAGGTTCAATTGGGAGAGTACAGGTTGCACCCTCGGCATACCTGACTAACCTGACGCTGTCCCCTCCCCCTAATATTAAAAATTAGGGTTTAGGCTTTAGGGTATTAAACCCCCCCCCTAACCCCTAATATTAAACACCCCCCATATATACTAGAATGTCACTGTCATGAGGGGTATATAATAGTAGGGGGTAGGGGGGGGGGGGGGGATGGATATTCGGGGAAGGGGATTGAGAACCCTAAGCCCGACGGAGCAGTGCTGGCCCCTTCAAAACGCGCACAGGCTGGTAAGAGCTCCCTGACAAAGTACTTCGGGAAGAGCAAAGGCCAAACATCCCTGGACCATTCAGGGGTACAGGGGTGTAGGGTTTAGGGTTTAGGGTTTAGGGTTTAGGGTTTAGGGGTGCCCTTTTGCCCTTCTTGGGTTCGAGGTGCCTTTACAAAACGTACCCAAAACACAAGCAGGTTTTCTTATCTTGACATGGTTGCTGGGCTACCAAGCGGGGTCTAGGGCGGTGGTGGTGTGGGGTTCAGGGCTTAAGGATGGGGTAGGGACCCTTGATCTTATTCCCCTATAGTTATGTACGCCTGTATATACCTTACTTTGCCCCTATACACCTAAGTCGCCCCGACATCAGCCCTAAGATTACCCTACGTGGAAGCCCTTTGGACTTAGCAAGTAGGGTTAGTAAGGTGGGTAGTGGGGATTATACACTCGTGTTTCTAGTGGATACTAAGCCCAAAGAATCCTAAGTACCTATATGGGGGTCACTTACCCAAACCATAATAGTAATTCCTATTATAGAAATCCTACTTTCTACTATGCAGGTACTTAGGACCCTTTGGGAAGTAGACTTACTAAGTCAAAAGAGCTTCCAAGTCAGGCCCCTTACAAGGGTTGAGCCCCTTGCAAGGATACTTGGTCGAAGGAGGAGCTCCACAAAGCAAGTCCCGAGATCGAACTCTCCGCAACACAAATCTGAGGTTTAGGGTTTAGGGTTTAGGGTTTAGGGTTTAGGGTTTAGGGTTTAGGGTTTAGGGTTTAGGGTTTAGGCTGTTGCAAAGCGACATCCCGACAGGGTTTTCGGGGTTGTGTGTCCGAATCTCGCCTCTTATGCTATTTTGGTTCTCAGCTTTGGAAAGCCCACACACCTGAACCCGACCGTTTCCCGAAGCCCCGTAAATCCCTATCTCAAGCCCGCAATTCACTACCGGAAACTATAAGTACTCACCAGCACTGCCGCATCAGAATTACTGCAAAGATTTGGTAAACTGCCCCAAATACCGGTACCCAGTGAACAAGCGCCCTACTATGCTGTGCCCTGAACCCTAAACCTTGCACCTACCCTGTCCACCCTAGCCCGCAAAGCCTAAACCCTAAGCCCTAAACCCTAAACCCTATACCCTAAACCCTACATGTGTAGGCCTCCATATCAGTAAGCCATGAACCAGGTGCCAGCGACGCAGCGCCAGCTCCCCCGCCGGCCGTGCGCCAACAGCCCCCGGAACAGAAGGTGGGCATTCCCTCGACTGTGGAGAGTTTAGGGTTTAGGGTTTAGGGTTTAGGGTTTAGGGTTTAGGGTCTGGGTTTCGGGTTTCAGGTTATGGGTGTAGAAGTTCAGCAGTTTAGGGTTCAGGAGTTCAGGAGTGCATGGCTTGGGAGTTTAGAAGTTTGGGTTTAGGAGTTAAGGGGTTTAGGGTTTGGGAGTTTAGGTTTTAAGAGTTTAGTGCTAGGAGTGTAGGAGTTTGGGAGTTTCGGGTTTAGGCTTGAGGATTTAGGGGTTTAGGGGTTGCCATCATTCACAGATCTGCAGAAGTACGTTTCTCCCTGTCAGCTGCCTAAACTTTATGGAACGCTAACCCCCAAAGACCCTGCACACTGTAATTCTTGCCAGCCCTAAACACTATGAACCTGATAAAACCCATAAAAAGGCCGAGACACCTTAACCCTCAAACTCCTTAAACCCTGAACCCGAAAACCTAAACCCTGTAGGGTTTCTGAACCCTGCAGGCCCAAAAGGGGCCTACGGAAAACCCTAAACCAAAAAGAAAACGAGCCTGGAAGCCCCCTCAAACCCTAAGCCCTAGACCTTAAACCCTATAAACCTCACAAGCACTTAAACAGAAAACCCCTGAATTCGTGAAACCCTTAAACCCTCAACCCCGAAGCCATTAAACCCTTACACCCTAAACACCTAAACCCTATAAACCTCACAAGCACCCAACTCCAAAACCCTAAACCCCCAAAACCCTCAAATCCTTACATCCCTCAAACCCTTAATCCCTAAACCCTGAATTCAAGCCCTCAGATCCCCACAGTCCCAACCTCCCACTTCCCGCTGCTTTGCCAGGCACCGAACCGCCTTGCGGACTTCTTCAGCAAGGGCAGAGGCAGGGTGCCGTCATCCCCTTGATAATTTAGGGTTTAGGGCTCAGGGGGCTTCGAGCTTAGGGTTTAGGGTTTAGGGTGCTTCGGGGTTTAGGCTTCAGGGCTTAGGATTTAGGGCTTAGGGGGCACACTGACACGACGCATGGCAACATACAAACGCTTAGGAGCTGAGCGGGAATGTCGAGCGGGCCACTGCGAGGATCCCTAATTTTCCAGACACCGTCCCACAAAACTTCTGAGCTCAGTTTCTACGTGGACTCCGTCGGATCGCAAAGGTGTAGAGGATGAATAAAGACGGGCACCCCCAAAACCCTGCGAAGCCCCAAATCCCGAACCCTACACCCCTAAATGCCCTAAGCCCTAAACCCAAAGAATCCTAAGTACCTATATGGGGGTCACTTACCCAAACCATAATAGTAATTCCTATTATAGAAACCCTACTTTCTACTATGCAGGTACTTAGGACCCTTTGGGAAAACCCTTGAGACCCGAAGCCCAAAATGCCTCAATCCCCAGCCGCCCTGGCCTTAAACCCCAAACCCCTATAGACCCGAAAGCATCCTAAAAAGCTCCCTGAACCTGCAGACCCGAGCAGGGTCCAGGTGTGAGAGTTGAATTAAACAGGGATTTCTGCTTTGGGGTTTTGGGTTACCCTAAACCCTAAACCCTAAACCCTAAACCCTAAACCCTAAACCCTAAACCCTAAACCCTAAACCCTAAACCCATGGGGTTTAGGGTTTAGGGCTCCGGCGGAGCCTAACCTCAGGTTCCGGTCGCGATGGCACTTCCAACAGCGCTCCTTGCCTTGGAGAGAAGCGGGCCATCGCACCTTCTGCCTTCTGAATGCTCTACCTAGAGTTTAGGGTTTAGGGTTTAGAGTTTAGGGTTTTGGGTTTGGGGTTTTGGGTTTTGGGTTTTGGGTTTAAGGTGGACCCTAAGGCTCTAAGGGCTCTTGTTTCAGGGTTTTTGGGCCCAAAAACCTTCTTATGTAAGGGTTTTTGGGCTACTGGGCCTTGTAGAAGTGCGTCCTTCATGGACACTTTCGGGGTCAAGACACTTTCGGGGTCAAGCTTAAATTAATATGGTATGTTGTCAGTTTCGCGCCTCAATCAATGTCTTGAGGGGTATGTTGATACTCAATGGATTCAGAATCCTAGGGGTATTCTCTTGGAGGGGGGCCCCTAAACCTTTTACCCTCGACCCTAAACCCTTTAGGGCTACACAGGGTCCACACGATGATGTTCTAGGGTACACGGGCACCTGGGTATATCTGAAGCCATAAACCTTACTACAAGAGGTTGCTGAGGTTTCCAATAGGGTTTAGGGTAGAGGTTCCAATAGGGTTTAGGGTAGGGTTTAGGGTTTAGGGTTCAAATGAAACCTAGTCCTTTAATTAGGGTCTGAAAGCAAGACCTGTTCTCTGTGCAGTAACGTTCACGGTTCACTCAGGAATGTCAACCATACTATGATTCCTGCCTGTTGAAAGCAAGGCCATAAAAGGAACAGTTGCCGTGTTGATGTGTGGTTGCCGAAACTGGAGTTTCTTGGCTTGTGAGACCCAGTCTTCCAGCGCAGCTTAACAACACACAGAATTATCACCGAATGGTGAGGCAACTGACCAGGAGGGTAAGGCGCTGTCGCCGATGGCGCAGAAGACGAAAGGCAGGGCCAGCAAGCAATCGGCATCCCTCACCTGGCAAGACAAGGTACGAGGATGATTCGCAAAGTGGATCAGCGTCGGCAAACGACACGCGTGTGCGCTCCTTGCTTGAAGCAGGTGTCAAGCGGTATGGAGACTGGTATACAGATCTCTTTCGTCTGGAGATGAGCTTGACAAATGGTCGTAACCAAAGTACACGGGAACGCTGCTCATTTGGCAAATTTGCCGAGGAACTCAGCATGGGTCTTGAGCTTCTCAGGGATCGCCAGATTGTGTTGCTATGTTTTGCGGATTTGCCTGCAGATGAGTTTGGCGAGGAAGGGTCACGCCTCATTGCTTATCAGGCATCAAGCAGAGAGGGTCCTCAGGTCAGAAGGATGATGATTGAGAGCCATGATATGGAACGCTTTGCCAATTTGAGCAAGCTGCTTCGCAGGAAGCCCTTGCCGAAGTCAGGCCGCGAGCGGCTGCAGGGCGTAGCCAGTGACTTGGAGCAATCCATCTTGGGTCCTATTGATCATGTCATACAGGGCGCCAGTGCGCTCATATTCATTGCCTCAGGTCGATTTGCAGACGTTCCGCTGGGTGCAATATTGTGCCATGGCCAGCCACTCATGCTAAGACTTCCCACAACCTATGCTGCCTCACTTTCAGACATGAGCAGAATGACGCACAGAGTCCCGGCATTGCGCGATAGCGATTGTATCGTTGCTTCCGCAACACACACTCAAGCCCAAAATGGCACATTGCCGCCTGTGCCTCTGGCAGGAATTGAGGCAGCAATGCTGCGTGGGATGTTATCTGAGGATTCCACCGTGGAGAGATCTGGGTGGACATCGCAAGAGATTCCAGTGAGGTGTTTGGCGGAGGCTACTTGCGAGGAGCTCTTAGATTGTGTTCGGGATTATTGCATCGAAGCTGAGTTACAAAGCACTTGGTTCGAAGAATGCATGGGCACTCCGCCCGAATTGCTGGCACTCTTCCACTATTCAGGACATGTCGATGCTTGCAAGTCCAGCAGTGACGCACCTGGATTCACAGATGGTGGGGCAGGGGAAGAGCCGGCAAAGCAGCTCCTCCTGACGGATGGCACGGAAGGCTTGAGTGGCATGCTTGGCGCTTTCAAACAGTACGCCTCGCTGGTGTGCGTCTCGGCTTGCTGTGGTGATGAGCTGTCTGCCCATCAGAGTAGGTATTCCTTGACGGGGGCGACCTGGGGTCATGAGGACTCCGCTACAGTTGTGTGCTGCACCTGGCCCTTGGAAGACGTGGCAGGCTTGATCATGAGTCGAGACCTTTATACTTACCTGGTGAAGAGAGAGCCCGACGAAGTGGGACAAGGAGTTGCTGAAGCCCTGCAGTGCGCGACACGAGCGATGACGTTCCGCACGCGCAAGGACCTCGAGGCAGAAGCGAAGCTCCTGGAGAATGAGCTGCAGTCATGCGGCTCAGAGTCCGAGGGTCACCTTGCCACGCGTGGACTGGCAGCATTGCGAGGCAACACTCAGTGGCTACAAGCTAGCTCTTCTTCTTCTTCTTCTTCAGATGATGAGACACCGATGCCTGAAGTCTGGAGGGGCAGTGGCGTTGATGAGCCAGGCACCACATCGGTGCACAACCGAGTTGGCAACTCCGGCGCCGGACAAGAAGACCGGTTCTACCTTTCCTGCCTCTGGCCATTTCTGTGGGCTGGCTACAGGTGTTATGGCATTCCCTTGCTGCGTGCCTCACCACATGTGTCGCCAGATGGCTCGGCTGCTGTAAGTTCGGCGTCAGATTCTGAAGCAAGCTCTTTCAATGATGAATGAGAGTTGCATGGCGAGGCAAGCCAGCACTGTGGGTGTTGGCCGTTGAAAACTGCCATGTCAAGTAGGCCTTCAGGACAATGGTCAGCGCGTTAGATCCCAGAAGAGTGTGATGTACTGTGAAGACAAGGTACCGGGCTAAGCATCATCATAAGGTAAGCACTCTCGAAACCTTTTCTGTAGAATACTCCCTCTACATCCTCACTTCGTGATACCCGAGAGGCTTGCACCACCCTGAATGGTGTTGGATCCGAGGCCACTGCAGCGAGCCAAATCGCCCAGGCAGTCAGCCGAGTGGTTTGCCTTAGGGCCCCGCCTCCCTAAGCCCTATAGCCCTGAACGCAGCGAGCTGCTGTGATGTTCTATGCAAGTATTCTGGGGCACTAGTCTGTAAGTAAGGTGGCAAGTAGTGCCAAACAGGATAGCAAACACAGGAACTCATCTTTGCATTGCCACTTCCCATGGCATTCAGTTCTCATTGTCTCCGCCCCCGAACCCTGAACTCCAAAACGAAACCATGAAACTTATCCCAAGACCCATCGTGAGAAAGGTGCGGTTTAGGGTTTAGAGTTTAGGGCGCAGGGTCAGGTTACCCGAAGCTGTCGAGCCCCCAACACCCCAAAACCCCTAAACTTCCTAAATGACCCCTTCCGACCCTAAGATTCAACACCCTTGTAAGTGCCAACAACCCTGAACCCCTTAAAGCCTGAACCCCTTAAGCCTGGCGAATTTGCCTCTCACACCCAAACACCCAAACCCCCACCAAACCTCCAAACCCCACACTCCCCTACAGCCCAAAACCTAAGACACCAATTCCCTAAACCCTAAACCCTAAACTCCCCAAAACCGAAGCCTCGAAAGCCTTCAGCCCAACCCCTGAACTTCAGCATCTCCTCAAGGCCACCACAGCTGCGCCAAAGCCGCCAGTTGCAGAACAGGCCAGAAGCGAGCCTTCCCTGAAGCTGCTTTAGGGCTTAGGGTTTAGGACCCTAAACCCCTTAAACCCTAAACCCCTAGACCCCTAAACCCTAAACACTAACCCCTAAACCCTAAACCCCTAACCCTAAACCCTAAACCCTCAACCCTAAACCCCAAACCCCAAACCCTAAACCCTAAACCCTGAACCCTGAACCCTGAGCCCTGAGCCCTGAGCCCTTGAACAGGCCATGGTGGTGGATGAGAAGGTGCTGGCGGAGCTTCCGCCCCAACTTCAGGAGGTCCCCTGGGGTTTATGGTTTAGGGTTTAGGGTTTAGGGTTTAGGGTTTAGGGTCTCGGGTCTCGGGTTTAGGGTGTAGGGTTTAGGGTTTAGGCTGGAACCTTGGCTAAGGGTTGCGGGTTGGGGTTTATAAACCCTGCACCGCCAACGCTGAGCTATCCTTCGCCCTAAACCACATTGTTCTTAGAGTTCAGGGTTCGACCTAAACCCTAAACCCTAAACCCTAAACCCTAATCCCTAATCCCTACTCCCTAAACCCTCAACCCTACCCTAAACCCAAAAGTGTGTCGATGTCAGGAGATTCGCCGCGAGATGCGCCTAACCAAGCGGCCGGGCGCCGCCCTCCCCGCCACCGATGCGGCTCGGTACAGAGCATGTCAGGTTTGCCTGAGCTGGTTCTTCGTAGGGAATGAGGAATGAGGAACCTTATATCACCCATATATATATATATATGTATGTATGTATATATATATATATATAATATCGCTCTGTTTAAGTGATGAACCACTAGGGGCACAGGGTTCAGGGTTAAAGATTTCCAGGGTTGAAAAGGCTTAGCAGTTTAGAGCATGTGCTATTCACAGACTTACGGGGTTTACAGGGTTTAGACAGTTGAGGCCGTGGGGTTTGCCAGTAAGCCCCGGTGAACGCCCAAAAGCCCCTACAACTAGGCTAAATTACCTTATTGAGCCTTATACACCCTAAACCCTAAACTCTAAAGCCACACCCTGACCCTAAACCCCAAACTCTAAAGCCAAACTCCGCGATGTCGATCCAGGTCGCCGCGAAGCGATGTCGGCCGGAGGTTGTCGAGATTGACGCATAGGGGGCCAAAAAGCTTCTCCTGATAGGTCTACAGGGTTTCCCAAAGGGTCCTAAGTACCTGCATAGTAGAAAGTAGGGTTTCTATAATGGGAATTACTATTATGGTTTGGGTAAGTGACCCCCATATAGGTACTTAGGATTCTTTGGGTTTAGGGTCGGAGTTGCTTCTTGGGGTCAGAGTTGGGCAATTGCGGAAACCCCGAGGAAGGGATACTGGCTTTACCTAGGCCCCTTCGGAAGAGTTTAGAGTTCAGGGTTTTAGGGTTTAGCTAGGGTCTAGGGTTTAGGGTTCTGGTAGACTTACAAACCCGAACTCCTAAAAGCCCAAAACCCTCCTGTCTTCTCTCTCTCTCTCTCTCCCTTAAACCTCAAGTCTAAGCGAGTTCCCTCCCTCTCCCTCCCCCCAAGACCCGAAACACAAACCCAAAGCCCTTGAAGGTGTGTAAGGTTGGGCTTCGTGGTGTAGTAGGCTTAGATACAGGGTTTTAGTGTTTAGGGTTTGGGGTTTTGGGGTTTAGAGTGCTTAGGTTTCCAGGGCTTCTGCAATTGACTGCACTTTCCGCAGCAATACTGTGCACTTCGTTGACCATCCATCCGTATAAGCATTTCCAAGCTTCTATTGGCAGTTTCCCTAAACCCTAAACCCTAAACCCTAAACCCTAAACCCTAAACCCTAAACCCTAAACCCTAAACCCTAAACCCGTGCGCGCTCACCGTCTGCTCCCGCTGAGTGACCGACAGATGTCGGGGGAATTCGGTTCCCTGCATTGGCCCCTTCAGGGGCTTTGCTTAGGGTTTAGGGTTTACGGTTTAGGGTTTAGGGTTTAGGGTCGGAACCTCATCCCAAAACCCGCACAGCCCGCTTAGCTCCTGTCATGGCGGATTCTGGGCCGACACTGGCAGGCGCTCAGCAGACGCCCGGGTCCCATCCGAGTCGACGCAGAAATAAGATGCCACCCTAAACCCTAAACCCTAAACCCTAAACCCTAAACCCTAAACCCTAAACCCTAAACCCTAAACCCTAAACCCTAAACCCTAAACCCTAAACCTTCGAAATCTCCTACTTGAAGAACCATTGACTTGATATAGGAAGCTCGTAGGAACATCTCTGAACATGATCAAGATTTTGGGAGGTTGGCTCCGCTTGGGGCTTGGGGGCTTGTTTCGGTATGTTCGGGGGTTTAGGGTTTAGGGTTTAGGGTTTAGGGCTTTGAGGGTTGTTTTAGATGGTCTAATGGGTTTTTTTGTTTCTGAGTGGTGCTCTTGTACCACGGCAATCCGCGCCGGAAGCGTTGTGTGAGATCCTTGATTGTTGAGGTGCGTTGGCGATGTTGACCTCCAACATTCTGCCGAACTTCCTCAGCAAAAGTGAAACCCTAAACCCAAAGCCCCCTAAACATCCAGACGCCCTCATCTCAAACATCCCAAAACCCTAAGACCCTAAAACCCTAAAGCCTTAATCCCCAAGACCCTAAAACCCTAAACCCTCACATCCCAAATTCCAAAAGCCAGCCCTAAAGCCCTGAACCCTAAACCTTAAGCCCTCTCACTCTAAACCCTAATCCCTAAACCCTAGCCCTAAACCCTAAACCCTAAACCCTAAACCCTAAACCCTAAACCCTAAACCCTAAACCCTAAACCCTAAACCCTAAACCCTAAACCCTAAACCCTAAACCCTAAACCCTAAACCCTAAACCCTAAACCCTAGCCCTAAACCCTAAACTCTAACGCCAAGCAGCCCTATCACTCTAAACCCTAATCCCTAAACCCTAGCCCTAAACCCTAAACCCTAAACCCTAAACCCTAGCCCTAAACCCTAAACCCTAAACCCTAGCCCTAAACCCTAAACCCTAAACTCTAGCGCCCCTTACACAGCCAAAGGGCTGGCAAAGCAGCAGCAAGTGGCAGCGGATATGGAGCCGCCTCAGGGAAGGCGCAGTCTGTTTAGGGTTTAGGGTTTAGGGTTTAGGGTTTAGGGTTTAGGGTTTAGGGTTTAGGGTTTAGGGCTTAGGGCTTAGGGCTTAGGGTTCAGGGTTTAGGGTTTAGGTTTTAGGATTTAGGATTTTAGGATTTTAGGATCTATACTTGGGCCTTAGGGAGGCGCAGTCTGTGTGAGGAAGGTGACCAAGCACCCTATTAGGGTCCACGTACCTGTTTAGGGTTCAGGATTTAGGGTTTAGGGTTGGGTTCGGCCGGTCCACACTAACAGTCAAATAACGCCGTGGCCTGATAACACACAGGCCAAAAATAGCACCAGGAATCCCAGTCAATTTTAGCATTTACCGGGTGCTTCTTTTTGTGGGTCTGCTGGTGGTGACTGCTAGTCACATAGCAACGGAAATAGCACCAGAAATAGCACCAGAAATAGCACAAACAATAGCACAAAAAATGGCACCAGAAATAGCACCAGGAATAGCACAAAAAATAGCACCAGAAATAGCACCAGAAATAGCACCAGAAATAGCACCAGGAATCCCAGTCAATTTTAGCAGCTTAGCATTTACCGGGTGCTGTTTTTTTGTGGGTCTGCTGATGGTGACTGGTAGTCACATAGCACCAGAAACAGCACCAGAAATAGCACCAGAAATAGCACAAACGAATGCACCAGAAAAAGCACCAGGAATAGCACAAAAAATAGCACCAGAAATAGCACCAGAAATAGCACCAGGAATAGCACCAGGAATAGCAGGAATCCCAGTCAATTTTTGGGCATTTACCGGGTGCTTTTATTTGTGGGTACCGGCCGAACCCTAGTTTAGGGTTTAGGCAGCTACGCAGGGAGGTTTACGAGTCGTGCGGCTTGGAGAGTCGCGCACCCACCCTAAACCCTAAACCCTAAACCCTAAACCCTAAACCCTATAAACCCTATAAACCCTAAACCCTAAACCCTAAACCCTAAACCTAAACCCTAAACCCTAAACCCTAAACCCTAAACCCTAAACCCTAAACCCTAAACCCTAAACCCTAAACCCTAAACCCTAACCCCCCCCCCCCCCTAAACCCCTTCACAGCTTCCTTCAGCTTCGCAGGAAGAGCCGCGGCCGCCCACTTACAACTTGCTGGATCAAAGAGAGTTGGGCCGATTCCTGCAGGAGCACGGCGGGAAGGGTTCAGGGTTTAGGGTTTAGGGTTTAGGGTTTAGGGTTTAGGGTTTAGGGTTTAGAGTTTAGGGCTTAGGGTTTAGGGTTTAGGGTTTGGGGTTTGGGGTTTGGGGTTTAGGGTTCAGGGTTTAGGGTTCAGGGTTTAGGGTTTAGGGTTTAGGGTTCAGGGTTCAGGGTTGAGGCTTATTATGGGGTTACAGGAGGGTTATATGTGGGTTTTAGAGGGCGTTTTTTCGCAGAGGACGCGCAGATTGGCTTGGTTCGGGTGGAGACCCTTGGCCTGATTTGATATGTATACTGTTGCCTATTACAGATAGACAACCCTAAACCCTAAACCCTAAACCCTAAACCCTAAACCCTAAACCTTCGGAAGTGGGGCGCTGGTGCTGAAACCGGCGCGCCGTGTGATCCATCGTGAACGATTGAGATGTGGGAGTTTCCGAAATTCGGAGTACCTTGTTGGGGTCCTTCCTTTAAGGGGATCCTACTATTTGGGCTCTAGGGGGCTCCCTAAACCCTAAACCCTAAAGCCTAAACCCTAAACCCCAAACCCCAAACCCTAAACCCTAAACCCTAAACCCTAAACCTGAGCCGAGGTACCTGTACAAGTTGCGGGAGACCAAGACGGCCTTCCCGCGTCGCCAGGAAGCCGAGGGCGAGGTGTGTCAAGTAGCTGGGTCTTGGAGTACTATACTTTAAGACTTTTTTTGGTTCTGGGTTCCTATTCTAGCTACTTCTGCCTAAAAAGTACCCTAAACCCTAAACCCTAAACCCTAAACGCTAAACCCTTTTACACTTTTTTTCCAGGGTCTACTCCAAAGCTAAGGTAGTGGATGGCTCCCAACGTCCGGCTATTGTGACTTAGGGAGACTTGGGGGAAAATGTCTAGTTCCTTGGGTACTTATATCCTATAATTAGGGACACTTTTGGGGAACAATGTCTAATTTCTTGGGTACTTATATAAGTCCTATAAGAAACAGCTAGATAATCTATAGAATTTCTGTTGCTAGGGTTCCAAGTTCAGTAGAAGGTGACGCAGCAGGAGATCTCTGAGTGGGCAGAAGGGGCCAAGAAGGCTATCGTCTGCTCCATCTCGCACAGCTGGGAAACGCGCGAACACCCGGACCCGTGCCGCTTCCAGCTGGAGCAGATACTAGGACCCGGAGTCGGCCCTGATTTCCTCTTTTTAGGGTTGGGGTTCCCCTATACTCCCCTTTAAAACCCAAAAGGGCGCTCTTTTTTATTCCTAGGTTACTCCTGGGTCTAGGATAGTGAACTGCCTCTGCCTGTACGATGCAGCCTTCTACGATGATGTGTGGATCTTCTACGACTACGTGTCGCTGTTCCAGTTCGAGCGGCACGGGACGGAGGAGGAGAGCTTCCGGCGGGCCATGGCCAACATGCACATACTGTATCTTGGTAGCCCAGTGGTGCCCTTTTTCCTTTTGTTTGGTTCAAAAGGTTCCCGTTTAAAGTAACTTACCCCCCAAAAAAGGGTGCCCTTATCAGAATATGGTTACTGGGCTACCAAGGTATGCGCATGAGTTCACGCGCACCTTCCGCATCCAGCGCCTCACCCCGAAGTCCATCTGGGAAGCATGCCTGGATGACCCAGTGCGGGTGTATGACCCCGATGCCGGCAAAGTCATCGCGCGGCCCTTGCGAAGTCTGAAGGCCAACTTCGTCCCATACAGGGACCGGGGTTGGTGCAAAGCCGAAGTCGAATCTCAGTAGGCCCAATTAGGGACATTTTATATTTTCCCTTACTGGGGTTTAAGAGGATCATATTCAGGAATATACCCTACACCCCTAAGTCCTAGACACTAAAAATCCGAAACCCTGCAATATTCAGGAAAATGTTTCAGAGGGTGGGGGTTTCCATAAATAGGGGTACCCTTTTAAGGAGACTCCATTCTATTTCGGGCATAAAAAGGGGTAAACCCTATACCCTAAAACCCTAAAACCCTAAAACCCCAAAACCCTAAAACCCTAAAACCCTAAAACCCTAAAACCCTAAAACCCTAAAACCCTAAAACCCTAAAACCCTAAAACCCTAAAACCCCAAACCCTAAACCCTAAGGGTTCACGTCCCTTATGATTTTTGTACGTACTTTGGGAAATGCCCACATCTTAGGAATGGTCCTCGGCACGGGCCTCCACCGCCAGCCACCAGCGGATCGATGCCTGCGAAGATAACGAGGGCAGCGCACCCGAAGCTACGGAGCTGAAGCTTGGTTCTAGGGTTTAGTAGGGTTTAGGGTTTGGGGTTTGGGGTTTAGGGTTTAGGGTTTAGGGTTTAGGGTTTAAGGCTTAGGGTTTAGGGTTTAGGGATTAGGGTTTAGGGTTTATGGTTTAGAATTTTGGGTTTAGGGTTCAGGGTTCAGGGTTTAGGGTTTGGGGGGTAGCCCAGTGGTACCCTTTTTCCTGTTGTGGTTCTGGGCTCGCCCTTTTTAAAGTAACCAACTGAAATCAAGGGTTTAGGGTTTAGGGTTTGGGGTTTAGGGTTTAGGGTTTAGGGTTTAGGGTGCCCTCATGAGAAGATGGTTCCTGGGCAGCCAAGGAAAGGCAGAGTTCCGATGGCGCCCGACGTGTTTCAGGAGCAGATGGCCCAAACCCTAAACCCTAAACCCAAAACCCTAAACCCTAAACCCTAAACCCTAAACCCTAAACCCCAAACCCCAAACCCAAACCCCAAACCCTAAACCCTAAACCCTAAACCGAAGTGTTTCAGGAGCAGATGGCCCTGGCTAAGTTTACCCATCGCTCCGACGCAGACGCGGTGCTCCTGCTCCAAGAGCGCACCTGGGACCCTACCCAGGGTTTAGGGTTTAGGGTTTAGGCTTTAGGCTTTAGGCTTCAGGTTTCAGGGTCCGTACCCCTATTAGGTAGGTACGACCCTTAGAACTGTACGTCAATAGGGTCCCAGGCATCTTTCACGAGAAAGTCTCGAGCTGTGAGACAGCCGTGCTCTCGTACCTTCCGAAGACAGAAGTCGCCACTCTGGCGCGGGCGCTGCCGCACTACGAGCGGCTGCGGGCGCTGCGCCTCCTTCACATCGATTCTTAGGGATACTTGGAAATATTTTCGATTCGTGGGGTACTTTGATTCCGAAGAAATAGCTAGAAGTTATATTTTTAGATACTATGATTCCTAAGAAACAGCTAAAGCTATAGCTTTTGCTGGGGTTCCAAGTTCAGTATAGGATTGCGGGCCAGCTGAAGGAAAAGTTCTGGGCAGGGTGGGCAGCCCAGCTGTTTTCAACTCAGCGGCAGGCCTTGGCATGATTTTGGTGAGGGGTTTAGGGTTTCGGGTTTAGGTTTTAGGGTTTAGGGTTTAGGGCTGCAGGCCATAGCATCCCACAAGACACTGCGCGAGCTCAAGGTCCTGATGGTTGCCCAGGCATGCGGGATGCGTAGGCTGTTGCGTGGCAGGGGCAAGACAAACCTACAAGGGTTTAGGGTTTGGGGTTTAGGGTTTAGGGTTTAGGGTTTGGGGTTTGGGGTTTGGGGTTTAGGGTTAATGTGCGTACAGAGACAAAAACATGTACATGTACATGAAAATGAAGTAGACTTACAAACATACACGCATATGTTCTTATTTGCTGGTCTGAAGGTTGTCGAAGCTTGTTTGATTTCTATATCAGATATGCCTTTGGAGAAAGAAGGACACAAAGCCAAAGAAAGAGAGAGAGAGAGAGAGACGCGACGGGAAGAGGAGGACATGATCAATGGCTGACAGTGCAAACCCCACCGCCCCTGCTTTGCCCCTGAGATGATGCTCAAAAGAAGAAAGACCCTAAACCCTAAACCCTAAACCGTGTCAGACCCTTCCACCCCCATACAAAACCTGTCAAAACAGCAGCCAGGAGATCAGATGCGACGAAGCAGACTTGACCTTCAAGGCACTTGGGAGGGAGTAGGCCCCTAAACCCTGAACCCTAAACCCTAAACCCTAAACCCTAAACCCGAAGTAAGAAGGTCGCCTCAACGAACTGGAGGCATGGATCGACCTAACACCCTCTTCTACGGACACCAAGAGATCTAGACCGAGTGCCGTTGCTCCCTGTTGTTCTAGGATGCCCCCTTAGTGCCCTTATTCCCTCTTTGTGGGGTTTAGGGGTCTCTTATAAACCCCTTCAAGGAAAAAAAGGGCACCCTTTTTTCATCCTAGGTTCCTGGGCAACCCAGTCAGGCTTTGGTGGAAGACCTCAAGGACAACACCACGGTCACGCACATCGACCTCAAAGGGAGCAAGATCGGCGATGCGGGTGCTGAGGCCCCGCCGGCTAAGCCCTAAACCCTAAACCCTAAACCCTAAACCCTAAACCCTAAACCCTAAACCCTAAACCCTAAACCCTAAACCCTAAACCCTAAACCCTAAACCCTAAACCCTAAACCCTAAACCCGAGCTAAGAAGGCAGCCTCAACGAACTGGGGGGATGGATCGACCTAACACCCTCTCGCCTTGCCCGAAGCACATCATCCTGTCCTGTGGGTTCATTCACCCAGAGACTCCAATATCCCTTAATTAAGGAATACACCTTAAATCATGTTAGGGATCCTACTATAAATTAAGGTATGTTCCTTAATTAAGGGATTTTGGAGTCTCTGGGCAGGCTGTGGCAAAGTGCCTCAAGGAGAATTCTGCGGTCATGCGTATCAACCTCACATTCAGCGGCATCGGTGCTGCGGGTGCTGAGGCCCTGGGCGGCCTCAGAGCGTTGCTCTAAACTTGCCTCCTTCCATCTCCCTACCCCCCAAAGGCTCTATGGACTTACATTAAGGGCTGATATGTTAGGGTTTTTGGGGCCTAAAGGCCCCCTTGAAAATTGGGTTTTTGGGCCTTATAGGGTCTTGTTTGTCAGGCCCTGGCGCAGGGCCTCATGCAAAATACCGCGGCCACGCGCATCGACCTCGGAATGAACGACCTCGGCGATGCAGGTGCTGAGGCCTGGGTCGGCCTTTCGCGTCGCTTTGCCTCGCTGCAACACTCCCTAAACCCTAAACCCTAAACCCTAAACCCTGTTGCTGCAGGCTTTGGCAGGGTGCCTCAAGAAGAATTCCAGGATCACGTGCATGAACCTCGGGATGTGCGGCATCGGCGATGCAGGTGCTGAGGCCCTGGAGTCGGGGTTTAGGGTTTAGGGTTTAGGGTTTAGGGTTTAGGGTTTAGGGTTTAGGGTTTAGGGTTAGGGTTTAGGGTTTAGGGTTTAGGGTTTAGGGTTTAGGGTTTAGGGTTTAGGGTTTAGGGTTTAGGGTTTAGGGTTTAGGGTTTAGGGTTTAGGGTTTAGGTTAGGGTTTAGGGTTTAGGTTTAGGGTTTAGGGTTTAGGGTTTAGGGTTTAGGTTTAGGGTTTAGGGTTTAGGGTTTAGGGTTTAGGGTTTAGGGTTTAGGGTTTAGGGTTTAGGGTTTAGGGTTTAGGGTTTAGGGTTTAGGGTTTAGGGTTTAGGGTTTAGGGTTTAGGGTTTAGGGTTCGGGCTTAGGGTTCCGTGCCTCCCTTCTCCCCTCCTTTTTGATCAGGCTTTGGCAGGGTGCCTCAAGGAAAATACCACGCTCACGTTCCTCAGCCTTGAGTTCAACCTCATCAACGAAGCAGGTGCTGAGGCCCTGGTCGCCTGCTCTCGGAGAGTCTTTGCCCTAAACCCGAAACCCTAAACCCTAAACCTCAAACCCCAAACCCCAAACCCTAAACTCTAAAGCTTCTTACCCCCCCCCCCCCCCCCGGTCCTTTTTTCAGGCTTTGGCCGGCTGCCTCAAGGACAATTCGTCGGTCACCCACATCGATCTCTCAAACAACAGCCTCCTTCCTGCAGCTCTCGGCGGCGTGGGCTGCTCAGAGCCTTAGGGTTTAGGGCTTAGGGTTTAGGGTTTAGGGTTTAGGGTTTCCTTCATTCCTTCCTGACCGAGGTCCTGACCCCCTACAAGACCCCATTAGGGTACCTCAGGAGCCTAGAATTGGGTTGTAACTACACTTAGAATTGCGTAAGCCCTAGACCCGCAACCCACAACCCTCAACCCCTCAACCCTAAACCCTAAACCCTAAACCCTAAACCCTATGAACCCTACACCCTAAGCCTCCCAGCACCGGCCCCCCTGAGGCAATGGATGCCATTGAGACGGCCCTCAAGCGCAACCGTGATGTAGCCAAGCAGGTTCAGGCTGGCTTGAAGCACTTCCCCCGGCATGGGGTTTAGGGTTTAGGGTTTAAGGTTTGGGGTTTAGGGTTTGGGGTTTGGGGTTTGGGGTTTAGGGTTTAGGGTGTAGGGTTTGGGGCTTAGGGTTTAGGGTTTAGGGTTTGGCGGGGCCCGCAGAAGTCGTCATGCAAATTCTACGTGGTATTTCAGGGAAAAGCTGCCGATAGCAGGACAAAGGGGCACAAGTGTGCGACACCATGCCTCCGTCATAGTCCTAAACCCTGACCCTAATAAAACCCTAAACCAACTCAAAATGTCTATGTATATACATACCCATACATATACACATAGACAGTTGTATTAGAAACATGCAATATGTGCTTTCTGCTGGGGAAGAAGCCGCTGATGCTAGGCTGTGGAGAGTGACGAGGAGCCAGAGGGCCCGTCAGTGCTCCCGGGACATCCGCGCATGCAGGATAGGGTTTAGGGTTTAGGGTATAGGGTTTGGGGTTTAGGGTTTAGGGTTTAGGGTTTGGGGTTTGGGGTTTAGGGTTCGGGCTTACTGGTGCGCCCTGTTTAGTCTGGCACGGTCGAAGAGTGGAAGCTGGCTTTAGCCTTATTTGTACGGTCCACGGGTTTCAAACGATTTTAATAGCTTGGTTTAGGGTTTAGGGTTAAGGGTGTAGGGTTTAGGGTTTAGGGTTTAGGGTTTAGGGTAGTAGCTGACTGCGTACACTTTGCCAAACAGGGTGCACCATTAGGGTTCAGGGTTTAGGGTGTCTATACTTGGGACTTAAAGGGTTCCCATATAGTAGCTTTAGGGCCCAAGCATATATTCTAAGAGATATTCAACATACTCTTTGGGCATACCCCTTGAAAGAAATGAAGGGGTATGGTAAAATCCTTCCTTATATTCTCCCTTTCCTAGGTTAAGGGGTATGGGTTTGGGGTGTGGTGGATTATTTCTTGGATATATTATATAGGTACATAGACCCTTGGTGTAGGCTTCTGAACTACCCCCTTCACTGCCCCGAGGTCTCAGGAGGCCGAACAAAATGAACCAAGTGCGCCCTAAACCCTAGACCCTAGACCCTAAACCCTAAACCCTAAACCCTAAACCCTAAACCCTCTGCTGTTTCAGGCTTTGGTGCAGCTCTTGGAGGAGAACTCCGTGGCCGACTCCCTCGAACTGGCTGGACACGCCATCGGCGCTGCAGGTGCTGAGGCACCGGGGGGCTGGCTTAGGGTTTAGGGTTTAGGGTTTAGGGTTTAGGGTTTAGGGTTAGGGTTTAGGGTTTAGGGTTTAGGGTTTAGGGTCTAGGGTTTAGGGTTTAGGGTTTAGGGTTTAGGGTTTAGGGTTTAGCGTTTAGGGATTAGGGATTAGGGATTAGGGATTTAGGTTTAGCGGGTTTAGGGGTTTGTCGGGGCTTAGGGTTGAGGCTTTAGGGGTTTAGGGTTCAGGGTTTAGGGTTGAGGATTCAGGGTTCAGGGCTTGGTCTCCTACTGATTTGTCCTGTTGCTGTTAAACAGGCTTTGGCCGGATGCCTGAAGCTCAATTCCACCGTCACGCGCATCAACCTCACACGCAACCACCTCTTTGATGCAGGTGCTCAGGCCGGGGGTCGGTGGGTCGTGGCGTCGCTTTGCCGAACTCCCTGTCGTTAGGGTTTAGGGTTTAGGGTTTAGGGTTTAGGGTTTAGGGTTTAGGGTTTAGGGTTTAGGGTTTAGGGTTTAGGGTTAGGGTTTAGGGTTTAGGGTTTAGGGTTTAGGGTTTAGGGTTTAGGGTTTAGGGTTTAGGGTTTAGGGTTTAGGGTTGAGGGTTGAGGGTTGAGGGTTGAGGGTTGAGGGTAGGGTTTAGGGTTTAGGGTTTAGGGTTTAGGGTTTAGGGTTTAGGGTTTAGGGTTTAGGGTCTAGGGTTGCAGGCTTTGGCAGGGTGCTTCAAAGACAATTCCACGATCACGTGCATCAACCTCGCAGAAAACATCATCGGCGATGTGGGTGCCAAGGCCCGTGTCGGCTGCCTCACTTTGCCTCCCTGCAAAACTCCCTGTTGTCCTAAACCCTAAACCCTGTTGGTTGTCAGGAGTTGGCAGTGGGTTTCAAGCACAATTCCGCGGTCACGCACATCGAGCTGGAAAACAACAACGTCGGCGCTGCAGGCGCTGAGGCCCTGGCACGAATAAAGACTCTTCTATGTGTGTATTCTTTTAGCGTGTATATGTATATGTGTATATATATATATATATATAAATTCTAGTAGAGCATGTTGATTATGAAGCATAGTCTACAATTTCATACTTGTATAGTATATTATATTATGGTACTATCGTATAACGTAATTATATAAGCAAATATTTGTACAGTTTACTGTAGTACATGATATTCTGCAGACATTGAGCATGTCAGGCTTTGGCAGGGTGCCTCGTGGAAAATTCCACGGTGACGCGCCTCGACATCTCATCGAACAACATCGGCGATGCAGGTGCTGAGGCCCTTCTCGGCTGTCTCATTGCATCTACATAACGCAGTATACTTTAAAAAGACATAAGATACTCTAACAGTCTTTAATGTGCTATACAAATATAATATACTGCACTAGATTGAAAATTCTAACTATAAGAAATATCATACACTGTACTATAACTACTGAAAAGTTCTAACTAGAATAACTGAACAAACATGTAGGTATATAATATATGTATATACACAAATGATTGAAACTGCTTCCCCAGGCTCTGGCAGGCTGCCTCAGGCTCAATTCCGCGGTCACCCGCCTCGACCTCGCAAGCAACAAGATCGGCGATGCGGGTACTGAGGCAACCCTGGAGGGGGTTTTAGGGTTTAGGGTTTAGGGTTTAGGGTTTAGGGTTGCCTCCCCTTTAAGCCTCCCTGCAAAATTCCTTGTGGTCCTAAACCCTTAGCCCTAAACCCTAAATCCTAAACCCTAAACCCTCAACTAAACCCTAAATCCGAAACCCTAAGCCTTCAACCCTGTTGTTTCAGGTTCTGGCAAGGTGCCTCAAGGAGAATTCCACGGTCACGCACATCAACCTTGGGCTGAATAGCATCGGCGATGCAGGTGCTGAGGCCCTGCCGGGTGTCTGGGGAGCCTCGGTTCTTTTCTCGGGTTTAGGGTTTAGGGTTTAGGGTTTAGGGTTTAGGGTTTAGGGTTTAGGGTTTAGGGTTGCAGGCTTTGGCAGGGTGCCTCGAAAGCAACGACACAGTCACGCACATCGAGCTCGCATACAACTTCATCGGCGCCACAGGGGCTGAGGCCTTGCGGGCTGCTTTTGTTGAATCACATCAAAATTCCCTAAACCCTAAACCCTAAACCCTAAACCTTAAACCCTGTTCGTTGTCAGGCTTTGGCAGGGTGCCTCAAGCACAACACCACGGTCACGCACATCGACCTTGCAAACAACCACTTCGCAAGCCCTGAGGCCGTTTAGGGTTTAGGGTTTAGGGTTTAGGGTTTAGGGTTTAGGGTTTAGGGTTTAGGGTTTAGGGTTTAGGGTTTAGGGCTACATCCGAGCCTCGCTCCCTCTCTCCTTCGCCCCCAAGTATAGCCCTAGGGTACATATACGGGTGCTTACTTGAAGTGGGGCAGAACTACACTTACGCCTGGGCGATAGCCCTAAACCCTAAACCCTAAACCCTAAACCCTAGACCCTAGACCCTAGACCCTAGACCCAAAACCCTAAACCCTAAACCTTAAACCCTAAACCCTAAACCTTCGAGCCCCCGGCCCCCTGAGGCTTTCCGTCCGCCGCCTGAGGCCCTCCGAGCCATTGAGGCGGCCCTCGAGCGCAACCGTGATCTGGCACAGCGGGCGCAGGCTAGCTTGAAAGCACTTCACCTACTTCGGGTTTGGGGTTTAAGGTTTAGGGTTTGGGGTTTATTTGGCTACTTGAACCTTTTGACTTGTCAGGATTTCCAGGGGATACTTCTAAGCAAGGGTCCATGTACCTATAAAGACTATAGAGCGGATATAAAAGGCCTTGAAGCTACCATACGGGAGCCCCTTTGAGGCCCAAGCATCTACATGGACCCTGAGGGCAGAACTTCGCCATACTTCGCCATATCGCACAGTAAGCAAAGCATTTAATGTTTATAGGGTTTAGGTTTTAGGGTTGAGGGTTTAGGATGAACTGCCCGTAGCCTCAAACAGTATGTCTCGTTTAACTACCTGAAAATTTGGCGGCTAGATGGCCCCCGCATTGGCTCGGGTCTACCTTGTAGGGCTCCAAGTAAGCAAAGAGTACATGCATTCGGGTCGAACCTCCGTAAATAATTCGAATCTCCGTATATAATTCCCGACTGTGGCACTCGAGTTTACGGTTTCGGGTTTAGGGTTTGGGGTTCAGGGTTTAGGGATGATCCAGGTCATGAACCTTCCTTTGGGTGCAAGGTGAGGAGTCCAGGGTGATGACGCTGCCGAAAAGCAATGGGTAAACTAAGAACCCCCAAAGCCCCTAAACTTAAACCCTATAAGCCCTGCAAGCCCTACAAACCCCACAAAGCCCCACACAAACCCTACATCACCCCCTGCACAGGCCCTCCATGAACCCTGCACGAACTCAAGCTCTACACCTGAGGCGCCGGCCCCTGCCTCGGCCCAGCCCTAGCGCCGTGACCGCGTCGCGAGCACGCGGAGGAGCGGGTGCCTCAGGGTTTGGGATTTAGGGTTTGGGTTTAGGATTTAAGGTTTAGGTCTTAGGAAACCTGTTGCAAATAAGCAAGGGACCTGAGTTTAAGACTATATGGAAAGTAGAGGTTTTCCGATTGAAATACAAAGAAAACACAGGTTTTCCTTAGAACACATATATATATATATAGAACATAGAGGTTCCCCTACTAAGTAAATACAGGTTTACCCTAGTAAAAAATCACAACAAATGGAGGTTTTCCTAATGACATACCGAGAATGTAGAGGTTTTCCTAGTAACATAGAGATCAAGCCCTAAATCCTTACAAAAATCCAAAAAATATTCCAGACCCTTGTTTTGGTGGGTTGTGTGGGGAGGGGGGGAGGCGGGGGTAGTTCAGTGCATATTCAGGGCCGACCCTACCCTAAACCCTAACCCCTAAACCCTAAACCCTAAACCCTAAACCCTAAACCCTAAACCCTAAACCCTAAACCCTAAACCCTAAACCCTAAACCTCTCTACCATATAAATAAATGTTAAACACGAAAAGGGAATCGGACCCCCCATTGTTCAGCACGAATTTGGGAATTGATCCATTTCGGCCCTTCTGACCCCTTTGCCCCCATCGTTCAGCACGAATTCCATTTCCGGCCCCCCTCTGACCCATCATTGTTCATGGGAATTTGATCCATTTTGGCCCCTCTGACCCCTCTGACCCCCATTGTTCAGCACGAATTTGGGAATTTGATCCATTTCGGCCCCTCTGACCCCTCTGGCCCCCCACTGTTCAGCACGAATTTGGGAATTTGATCCATTTTGGCCTCCTCTGACCCCTCTGACCCCCCATTGTTCAGCACGAATAATTTGATCCATTTTGGCCTCTCTGACCCCTTTGACCCCCAGGTGTTTAAGGTTTCAGGGCTTCAAGGCCTGGTTTTTAGGGTTTCAAGGCCTCACAGCCTGGTGTTTAGGGTTTCAGGGTTTCAAGGCCTGGTGTTTAGGGTTTCACGGCCTCACGGCTTGGTGTTTAGGTTTTCAGGGCCTCACGGCTTGGTGTTTAGGGTTTCAAGGCCTCACGACCTGGTGTTTAGGGTTTCAGGGTCTCAAGGCCTGGTGTTTAGGGTTTCAAGGCTCACGGCCTCGTGTTTATAGGGTTTCAGGGCCTCAAGGCCTGGTGTCTAGGGTTTCAAGGCCTCACGGGTTTCAGGGCCTCAAGGCCTAGTGGTTAGGGTTTCAAGGCGGCCTAGGGTTTAGGGCTTCAGGGCCTCAAGGCCTGGCGTTTAGGGTTTTAGGGTTTTAGCCTCAAGGCCTGGTGTTTAGGGTGTTCCTCAAGGGCTGGTGTTTAGGGTTTCAAGGCCTTGGGGTTTCAGGGCCTCAAGGCCTGGTGTTTAGGGTTTCAAGGCCTGGCGTGGCTTGTGTTAAGTGCTTGGTACTACGGCGTGATTGTTTTTGTGTATTGGTGCATCCGAAGAGAATATAATTAACCTTCTATTTTCATAATGGTATGGGATTCTTTGGGCGGGTGGGTTTTTTCCGTTGCCTAGACACACTGCTGGACTAGTAAATGCTCGAACTTGAGATGCTGAACCCTAAACCCTAAACCCTAAAAACCCTAAACCCTAAACCCTAAACCCTAAACCCTAAACCCTAAACCCTAAACCCTAAACCCTAAACCCTAAACCCTAAACCCTAAACCCCTAATCCTGAACCCTAAACCCGAAACCCTAAACCCTAAACCCTAAACCCTAAACCCTAAACCCTAAACCCTAAACCCTAAACCCTAAACCCTAAACCCTAAACCCTACCCACTGCACCTTCATTCCTAAGCCCCAAACCCTACATTGAGCGTTCATGGGTAGGTCCAAGAAAGGTCGGGGCCGCCAAGTGACTGGTACCTGAGCTAGAATCCTCATGTGGGGTGTGTTTCGGTTTAGGCTTTAGGGTTTAGGGTTTAGGGCGCTTCAGGTATTGGGGTTTAGGGCGAGCCCCTGACGTGGAGCCAGGTCGCCGCGAAGCAATCTCAACCAGAGGTTGCCGAGATTGACGCATAGGGCCAAAAAGACTAAAACCCTAAACCCGAAAGGGCTTAGGAAACCCTAAACCCTAAAACCCTAAACCCTAAACCCTAAACCCGAAAGGGCTTAGGGCCCTAGGGGTTGGCCCATGGGTTTAGAGGTGGGGCTTACGAAAGTAGGTTCCGGCACTTAGGCTTTACAGGCTCCAACTCAGCTTTTGGGTGAACCCAGGTGAAACCCTGAACCCTAAACCCCAAAGCCCTTAACCCCGCTCTGGGCTACTCAAATCTGGGTTTTTGGGGCGTGTAGAGCTTGACGGGTCCAAAGGGATGAAAGGTTCCATGGGATTCATAACTCCCCCAACACCGTGGACCTAGAATCCAAAGCCAGTACAGCCCTGAATCCCTCAACCCCTAAACCGTACTCAAACCCGTAAAACATGCTCAGCCCGAAATCCCTCCAACACTCGAGCTCTGAAGCCTATAGCCGAACTATGCCGAACTTAACCCACAGCCCTTCGAAACTCCGACAAGCCCTACTAAAGCCCGAAGCCCTTCTTGTGTGTCCCAAATCCAAGCCCTAGAGATTGGAACCTGGTTTATACGGGGTGTATCTGGGATGGGGCGTAAAGGGTTTGGGGTCTATAGGGCTCAGGGTCACTGATGGCTTTGCCCTCTCCGCAGCGATGATGTTCACTTTGAGGTTTGTTGGCAGTCAGCCAATTCTGACCACATAAGTACTACCAAACCTACTGTTTAACACCATAAGCTATATGCCAGCCTGCTATATAAGAAGTTCGATTGAAAAGAATCCTATTTGTAAGCATAAGTGTAACCACACCACGCGTGCGCGCTCACCCTCTGCGGTCTCTGAGCCCCTCTCATGGCGGATGCTGGCCAGACACATTGCAGTGGACACTGTGGCAATCTTTCAGTCATAGGCATAGTGCAGTAATGTTGTTAAGAAGCGAAGCACAAGGAACCACCTATGAATCATTTGAGAAGATTGTAGGAACATTTATGAGTAAGACCAAGGTCCATGAAGGTTGGCCCTACTTGGGGTTTTGGCTGGGGTTCCGATCTTGGGGGCTTCGGGTTCTAGGGTTTAGGCTGTTTAGGGTCTCTAAACCCTAAACCCTAAACTTCGAGTGCATGGACTTTCACATCTCTGACGCTTGACGAGGTCTTCTGGCGGGAAGGCGATGAGGGGCCTCCAACATCCCTACTTAGAAGTTCACGGGTAGTTATAGCTGGGCCTGGCAGTAGGGATACTGTAGTCATAGCTGGTGTATTTGAGTTTCTCTGATCCTGCATACAGCTAACCAAGAACCTCTTACCCGAAACATCCCTAAGCCCCGAAAGCCTAAACCCCTAAGCCCCTAAACCCTTTGAGCCCAAGGACGACAGTAGCTGGCAATGGGATGCGTAGTCACCTCAATTGAGGCGCAGTCCACTGCGGAATGGGCTTTCGGTCAGGGTGGAAGGGAGCGGGGAGGGGGGGTGTTTGGTTGTGGGGCGTAGGGGGTTCAGAGTTCAGGATGTAGAGTTCATGGCACGCGTTTCATGCTTTAGGGCTTGTGGCTACAGAAGTCAAATGGTACGGTGCAGTGGTTGACAGCATTGAAACGAGACAGAACAGATTCGTATGGTCTCTACAGGGATGACCCTCACACAAGTCTTGCTTGTCTTTCCTTGTTGCTGCCGGTTGTTACTGTTGTGACGCCTATAGCTCATGTTTGTCATCTTCATGGCAATACTGAAGGCTTTTCTATTAACGTTGCTGGTGTTCGTAGGGTCGGCCTGGATTGTTGCGCGTGTAGATACTTACATCTGTCTTTTCAAAAAGCTTTGTGAGTAGGACGGGCGCCGATCCCAAAGTGTCGGGCTTAGACTATCCTAAACTCCTAAATCCTACACCCCAAACGCTGAACACTTCTTTTAGCTTTTTATTCATCAGTATCACGCCTCACTTATGGGGTAAGCCCTTTTGGCTTCAAGGGTTTAGGGACTAGTAGGGGCTTTCAACAAAGCTTCGAGGTTTTGGAAGTCTAGGCTGCGCAAATCCCTCAACCCTCAACCCTCAGCCCCCCCCCCCCCCCGCAATTTCTTAAAGGGGTTTTCGGGTTCACAGGGTTTAGGATAGAGTCGGAAAGAGAGTTCCTTGTCCATGCTGCATTTCTGAGGGTTTTGGGTTCAGCGTTTGACATCGTTGGAGCGATACAGAGCAGCTTCGATGTGTCTTGGGTCGGGATGACCTTTGCTGTTGTGAGGTGTGACGGCAAATTGTCTTGAAGCTCTCAGGAGCCGACGTGTTCGAAGTACAACTTGCTGGACCACACGGCCTTGGGCCGCTTCCTGCAGGAGCGCCGGGCTTTGGTGGGTTTGTATAGGGTTTATCGTAGAGTTTGTTATACAGCAGCTTATGCTTGGTGATAGGGTTTAAGCACGGCTCACAGGGCTTATACGTTTGCGGGCTCTGTATGTATAGCGGGTTTATTGGAGGGTGTGTGTGAAAACTATGGCATTTATAGGGCTAATAAAGATTTGTTTAGGGCTTATTCTTGGTTTCACTGGTTTGAACAGATCAATGTGTAGGTTTGTGTAGGTTTAAGAGTTTAGACAGGCTTCATGGGTTTTTATTGCTCAGGATTTGAAGAAAGGGCTCTACTCCAGGGGATTGATGCACGGGTCAGTGGCTTCTACAAATTTACGCAAGATGTTTTTTTTTGTGTAAACCCTTGACCTTATACACCCCAAACCCTGTACCCAACGTGCAGGATGCGCAGATTGGCCTGGTCAGGGTGGAGACTCTTGGCCTCGGGATCGGGAGGCGGTGAGGTCTTCACAGCTCAGGGCGGATATTTCAGCACGGGTTCTCGGGCGGGTTTCTGTAGATTTGCTTTGCATGCTTGTAGTGCTTGGGAGAGTGCTGCCTGCACGGTGCCAGAGCGATGCAACATGCCCAGACATGTCCTTGAGAGCGCATGTGCGTAAAAATCCTTTGAGGGCGCATGTGCTTACAAAGACCAGCCAACCCCGTGCCGCTCTAGTTAGTCTGCTGCTCCTGCGCGAGGCCAGTCTAGCCATCAATGCCATGTATACACAATGCCTGTTATGAAAACATACACGCCATGTTATCCCGATTGAGATGTGCCAAGGTACCTATACAAGTTGCACGAGACCAAGACAGCCTTCCCACGTCGCCAGGAAGTCGAAAGCGAGATGTGCCAACTAGTGGATGGCTCCCAACGTCCGGCCCTTGTGACTTAGGGATACCTGGGCACAATCATGTCTATTTTATTGTGTACCATCAGTCCGATAAGAAACAGCTGAACTTTTAGTTTTTGCAGGGGTTCCAAGTTCAGTAGAGGTGACCCAGCAGGAGATCTCTAAGTGGGGAGAAGGGGCCAAGAAGGCCATCATCTGCTCTATCTCGCACAGCTGGGAAACTCGTGAGCACCCGGACCCGTGCCGGTTTCAGCTCGAACAGATAGTGAATTGCCTCTCCCTTTACGATGCAGCCTACTATGATGATGTGTGGATCTTCTACGATTACATGTCCCTGTTCCAGTTCGAGAGGCGCGGGTCGGAAGAAGAGAGCTTTCGGCGGGCCATGGCCAATATGCATATACTGTACGCACATGAATTCACACGTACCTTCCGCATCGAACGTCTCACCCCGAAATCCATGTGGGAAGCCAGCCTGGATGACCCGGTGCGGGTGTATGATCCGGATGCTGGCAAAGTCATCGAGCGGCCTTTGAGAAGTCTGCAGGCCAACTTCGTCCCATACAGGGACCGTGGTTGGTGCAAAGCCGAAGTGGAATGGTCCTCGGCACGCGCCTCCACCGCCAGCCACCAGCGGATCGACGCCCACGAAAAACGCGAGGACGGCGCCGAATCCAGGGATCTGAAAGGCAGAGTTCCGATGACCCCCGAAGTGTTTAAGGAGCAGATGGCCCAGGCGAAGTTCACTCATCGCTCTGATGCAGACGCTGTGCTACAGCTCCAAGCCCGCATCTTTTACGAGAAAGTTTCCAGCTGTGAGACAGCCGTGCTCTCGTACCTTCCCAAGACAGAAGTCGCCACCTTGGCACGGGCGCTGCCGCATTATCGGCAGCTGCGGGTTCTGCGCCTGATTGAAATCGATTGTGGACCAGCTGAAGGAGAGGCTCTTGGCCAGGTGGGCACTTCAGCTGTTCGCAACAATTTGCATGTCGTGGTGTGTCTTCGCGAACAATGTAGGCCATAGCATCTCACGAGACGTTGCGCGAGCTCACCATCCAAGGGGCCAACCAGGCATTTGAGATGTGTGGGTTTTTGTGGTTTTGCGGGGGTTCCAACGCAATTACTGAATATTATATGTATACATGTATACATGTTGTACATGAATACGTGTTCTACATCTATGTTCTTCCCCCCCCCCCCCCATGGTACACGGTCTCCCCCGCATCCCTAAACCCTAAAACCCTAAAACCCTAAAACCCTAAACCCTAAACTAATGTCTATACCCAAAAACCCAAAACCCTACTACCCTAGACCCTAGGACCCCTAATTAAGCCCGAAGCCTGAACAAAAAAAAAAAAAACTAAACCCCAAAACCACAAACCCTACGTAACCCTAAGGCCTAAACCCTAAACGGCCCTAAACACCCGAAGCCCTGAGAGAGCGAGAGAGGGCGAGAGAGAGCGAGAGAGAGAGAAAGAGAGAGAGAGAGAGAGAGCAAGAGAGAGCAAGAGAGAGCAAGAGAGGAGCAAAGAGAGAGCAAGAGAAGGCGGAGGAGGGGTAGGGGAGAGGGGCGTTCGGGGAGAGCGGGAGGGAGGGAGGGGGAGGGGGAGCGTGAGGACGGATGGGAAGAGACGGACGAGGGAAGGGAGAGAGGGAGAGAGGGGAGAGAGGCGGAGAGGGGCCGAGGAGGGCAGAGAGGTGAGAGCGGGCGAGAGGGAGAGAAGGGGAGAGACATTAGAGGAGGGGAGAGCGGGGCCGAGGAGCAGGGTGAGAGCGGGCGAGCGGGAGGAGGGAGCGAGGGGAGAGAGGGAAGAGAGGGAGAGAGGGAGAGAGGGAGAGGGGAGGAGGGAGAGAGGCGCACGCGAGGGCGCGGGGGAGAGAGAGAGAGAGGGAGAGGGGAGAGAGGGAGAGGAGGGAGAGAGGCGAGAGAGGCGAGCGAGGCGAGAGAGGAGCGAGAGCGCGCTGAGAGAGCGAGAGAGAGGGCGAGAGGACGAGGGAGAGGAGAGAGGAGAGAGGAGTACGATGAGAGAGAGAGAGAGAGAGAGAGAGAGAGGAGAGAGAGAGAGGAGAGAGAGAGGAGAGGAGAGAGAGAGAGAGGAGAGAGGAGGGAGAGAGAGAGAGAGAGGGAGAGAGAGGAGAGAGAGAGAGGAGAGAGAGAGAGAGAGGAGAGAGAGAGAAGAGAGGAGAGAGAGAGAGAGAGAGAGGAGAGAGGAGAGGAGGAGAGAGGAGAGAGAGAGAGAGAGAGAGAGAGAGAGAGGAGAGAGGAGAGAGGAGAGGGAGAGAGGAGAGAGGAGAGAGAGAGGAGTGAGGAGAGAGAGGAGAGAGGAGAGAGGAGAGGAGAGAGGAGGAGAGGGAGGAGAGGAGAGAGGGAAGAGGGCGAGAGGAGGAGAGAGGAGGGAGAGGAGAGAGGAGAGAGGAGAGAGGAGAGAGAGGAGAGAGGGAGAGAGGAGGAGAGGAGAGAGGAGAGAGGAGAGAGGAGAGAGGAGAGAGAGGAGAGAGGAGAGAGGAGAGAGGAGAGAGGAGAGGAGAGAGGAGAGAGGAGAGGGATGGGAGAGGGAGGCGAGGGAGAGGAGAGGGAGCGGGAGGAAGGGGAGGGAGCGGGAAGGGGAGAGGGGACGGGGAGAGGGGAAGGGCGAGAGGGAAGGGAGGGGGGCCAGGGGACGGGGGAGAGGGAAGGGGGGAGGGCGAAGGGAGGAGGGAAGGGGAGAGGGCAAGGGGAGAGGGAAGGGAGAGGGGAAGGGGAGAGGGGAAGGGTGAGAGGGGAAGGGGAGAGGGAAGGGGAAGGGACGGGAGAGGAGGGGAGAGAGGCAAGGCGAGCGGGAAGGGGAGAGGGACCACGGGGAGAGGTAAGGGGAAGAGGGGAAGGGGAGAGGGGAAGGGGAGCGGACAGGGGAGAGGGACGGGGAGAGGGACGGGGGGAGGAAGGGGAGAGGGAAGGGGGAGCGGGAAGGGGGGAGGGAAGGGGGAGGCGAAGGGGGGAGGGAGGGGGAGGGAAGGGGAGAGAGAGGAGCAGGGAGAGAAGGAGGGAAGGGGAGGAAGGGAGAGAAGGGGAGAGAAGGGGAGAGAAGGGGGAGAGAAGGGGGAGAGAAGGGGGAGAGAAGGGGGAGAGAAGGGGAGAGAAGGGGAGAGAAGGGGAGAGAAGGGGAGAGAAGGGGAGAGAAGGGCAGAGAAGGGGAGAAAAGGGGAGAGAAGGGGAGAGAAGGTGAGAGAGGGTTGAGGAGAGAGAGGAGAAAGGGTTGGAGAGAGAGGGTTGGAGGAGAGAGGGGAGGAGGAGAGAGGGGAGGAGAGAGGGGAGAGAGGGAGTGGGAGAGAGCCAGGCAGGGAGGGAGGGAGGGCGGGAGGGAGGGAGGGTCAACAACCATGCTGGGGCACACCCACTAGCCAGGCATTCAAATGCGGCGAAGCAGATTTTACCATCAAGGCACTTGGCGTAGAATTGCATGGCAGGCGGCTTCCACGACAGATGAGTTATGAAGCATCTTACGAAGAAGAGACAGTGTGCCCTGACTCTGTGTTGTTTTCAGGCTTTGGCGGATGCCCTCAAAGAAAATACCACCGTCACGCACATCGACCTCAAACACAACAACATCGGTGACGTGGGGGCTGAGGCTCGGGTCGGCTGCCTCAGAGTCCCGCTGTGCCTGCCTGCAGCTCCTTGTTGTGTGTCAGGCGCTGGCGGAGTGCCTAAAACACAATTCCACGGTCACGCGCCTCGACCTCGCACTCAACATCATCGGAGCTCCAGGTGCTGAGGCCCGGTCGGCTGCCTCGGAGCCTCGCATTGCCTGTACTGCAGCTCCCTGCTGCACGTCAGGCGTTGGCAAGGAGCCTTCAGCAGAATTCCACGGTCATGCACATCGATCTCAGGTTCAACCGTATCGGTGCTGCATGTGCTAAGGCCCTGCGGGCTGGAATGAATCTGTTTGCTTCCTTCATTCCTGACTTCAGCTGCTCCCCTGATCGAGGCAATGCAAGCCATTGAGGCGGCCCTCGAGCGGAACCGCGATGTCGCAAAGCGGGCTCAGGCTGGCTCGACACACTCGCCATATCGCTCTCGCTGCTTGCACCATTGCAGGTCTGAGAACTCTCCGCAGCTAGTTGTTGTTACTGTCTCTGCAGCCTATTCGCAGACGAACGCCGTCATACCGAAGCAGCAAACTTGCGCGGTACAGTCAGTTTCAGGGATTTCACAAGTGGCGCTGCTGTTCTAATCATCCTCGGGTTGTTCCGGCTACTCTTTTCAGGTTCAGTCCCAACGCAAGAATTTATCAGGTACCTGGCCTTGCTAGATGCAAGAAAACGGTTGAGTTGCTGCCAGGCCGTGGAGACTGAGGACGAGGAAGAGGGCGAGACGATGCTTCCCGGACATCCGCGTCTGCAGGAAAGGGCCGAGCGGCAGAGTGGGGATCAGACTATGCTTCTGAACTGCGCATGACCACGAGCCTCGCCTACCCTCAGGCTTTTGCGCAGCTCTTGAGTCAGAATTCCGTGATCGAACGCCTCGAACTGGGAAGTCGAAACAGAGATATCGTGGGCCTTGGAGGTGTTCAGGCTGTTCAGGCCTGGTCGGTTGCTCGGAGCTTCACTTTGCCTCCCTTCAGCTCTCTGTTGTACGTCAGGCTTTGGCAGGGTGCCTCAAGCACAATTCCACGGTCACGCGCGTCGACCTCGGCGTCAATAACATCGGCGCTGCAGGTGCTGAGGCCTGGGTCGGCTGCGTCGGAGCCTCGCGACGCCTGCCTGCCCTTCCCGTTGTGCATCAGGCTATGGCAGGGTGCCTCAAGCACAATTCCACGGTCGCGCACATCGACCTCTGGCGCAACAGCATCGGTGCTGCAGGGGCTCAGGCCCGGGCCGGCTGTTCGGAGCCTCGCTTTGCCTGCCTGGAACTCCCTGTTGTACGTCAGGCTTTGGCAGGGTGCCTCAGGCATAATTCCACGCTCACGCATGTCGGCATCAGGGAGAACCAAATCGGCGCTGCAGGTGCTGAGGCCCCGCCGGTCGGCTGCTCTGACTGGCGCTTTGCCTCCCTGCCGCTCCCTTGTCAGTTGCGTCAGGCTTTGGCTGGGTGCCTTGAGCACAATTCCACCGTCACGCACGTCGACCTCGAGAACAACAGCATCGGAGACGCAGGTGCCGAGGCCCGAGTCGGCAGCCTCAGGGCCTCGCTTTGCCTGTCTGCAGCTCCCTGTTGCTCGTCAGGCGTTGGCAGGGTGCCTCAAGCACAATTCTACCGTCACGCACATCGACCTCAGGGGCAACAACATCGGCGATACAGGTGCTGAGGCCCGGGTCGGCTGCCTCGCAGCCTCGCTTTGCGCGTCTGCAGCTCCCTGTTGTGCGTCAGGCATTGGCGGGGTGCTTGCACAATTCCACGGTCACACACATCGTCCTCAGGGGCAACGACATCGGCACTGTAGGTGCTGAGGCCCGGGTCGGCTGCTTCGCAGCCTCGCTTTTACAGCTCCCTGCTGTGTGCCAGGCGTTGGCTGGATGCCTCAAGCACAATTCCTCGGTCACGCATATCGACCTGAAGGGTAACAAAATCTGTGATGCAGGAGCTGAGGCCCAAGTCGGCTGCCTCAGAGACACGCTTTGCATGTCTGCAGCTCCCTGTGCGCATGTCAGGCATTGGCAGGGTGCCTCAAGCATAATTCCACGGTCACACACATCTACCTCGGAGAAAACCGCATCGGCACTGCAGGTGCTGAGGCCCGGCGGCCTGCAATAAACCTTTCGCTTCGCCCTTCCTCCTGACTCCAAACTTCTCCAAGGCAATGCGAACCATTGACGCGGCCGTCGAGCGCAACCGTGATTTAGCAAAACGTGGTCAGGCTGGCTTGAATGGCCGCATTGCAGAGTACTTTGGCACTGTGCTCGCTGTTTGCAGTTCTCAGTTCTTTCTGCCGTCAGCGCTTTTGATGCATTGGTTATAAAAGATTTGCCCCTTAAACTCTCAACCCTCAAGCCCTATCTATGCCGGGTTTAGCTCGAGATTTGAGACAAGTGGAGGCGCAGGGTCTTGCCTTGACCGACCCCTCACGCATAGCTCGTGGAGCGGGAGGATGAAGAGAGGTGCCGCTGTGGTGGTTGGGTTTAGGGTTTAGGGTTTAGGGTTTGGGTTTTAGGGTTCGGTTCTGGAGCGTCGGGTTGTTTCGGCCAAGTGAGATTCGGTGAGGGTAAGGGCTTGCAAGTGCTTTCTGGCATCGGGCCTCCAGAGCTTACGTAGCACCTGTAGAGCAGATTCTTGCGGCGCAAGGCTCCCTTGAAGCCCCCCCCCCCCCCCCCCCGTCTAAAGAAATGCAATTGTAAACGCTTGTAAACGAACCCTAAGCCCTAAGCCCTAAACTACACCCTAAACCGGCAGCCGGGCTGGCCCAACGCGGGGTGTAGCAGGTGCAAACGGTCAGTGCGCCAGCATCTGGCTCCTTCCCCCGTTCCTGCGGGTCTGCTTGTTCTAGACGCTTTTTGGCTGGAAGCCGAGGCGAAAATATAGCATCCGCATCAGCCAACGAAATGCCGAACCCTTGCGACTCGAATTGACCCGGCGAGCAACGCCCTCAGAAGTAGGAGTGCTTGTGAGCCTCTCCTGTTTTGCTCGCGCACCGCCCTCAGAAGTAGGAGTGGTTCAGAGCTGGGGAGTGCGTTCTCTGAAGAGCTTCCCCTTTCTGAGCACTTCCGAAACCCTTAAAACCCTCAAACCTGAACCCTAGACCCTATAAGCCTGACTTCTCAGGGACTGGACCCCGATCCTACCGGAAGAATTCGAAGGAAAAGGAGCGCGCGAGACAAAATAGTCGATGCAGGGTTGAGCTTTGGGAGGGTGGGTGTTTTGGGTGTCCGGATGTCTTGGATATGGGGTAGGATGGGCTTTAGGGTTGAATTAGGACTTGGGTTAGCTTGAGCGTTGGGGTTTCGGGAGTTGCGAGCTTGAAGGTTCATGGGTAGTTACACGTGATGCTAGACGATGCCCCGACGAAAGTCATAATTAGATAATCACTTATCGCCATTTTCCCTGCTTATAACCCAAACACTAAACTCTAAACCCTAAAACCCTAATTAAGAACCCCAGTTAGGACTGGCCATGAGGCTCCAAGTAGGGTTTCACAGCCAATGGAAGCGACATAGGGATGCATTCCGCGCGCCCTCATATCTTGGGGGTTTAGGGTTTATGGTTTATCAGGTCTAGGCCGGTCTCCCTAAAATTGAGCCTTAAACACGCCCTGCATGGCTCTTCGGGCTCAAGGTTTTAGGTACCCTGCCTCAAAATAAGCTTCCCTCAGAACCCTTACTCATAAAAAGCGCCGGTTAGGGTTCTGCAGCGTCATGAGATGTCGAGTCGTAGCCTTTCCATTGTTTACCGAGCTGGAACTAGTGCAAACCCTTCAGGGCTACAGCCCGGGACCTAAACCCTTAAGTCCTAAGCCCTAAACCTTGAACCTCCTTGCAATCAACCCCAAGAATCCCCGCGCGATAATTTCGCACTCAAGATTCGCGGGCCTTCCCCAAGCCATGGATCAAACAGGCGAGCTGCCGGATATGGAGGTGCGCTTTGGGGTTGGGTACAGGGTTTACGTTTTTAGGCTTGGGGCGTTATAGGGGCTTCTTGGGGCATACTATGACTACGACTATATGGGGCATTTGGGTCATCGTGGGCTTTGAGGCCTTGAAGTTGTGGGGTGCTGTCTGGAAGTTGCCCTAAGGTTTAGGGCTTAGGGCTTAGCGTTTAACTTCCCCCTAGCATTGCGACGAGATCGCTCGAGTTTGCGTCTGCACCTATTTCTTGCAACAGTGCGCCGCGTGCCGCGGCAGTGCGTCGGTACCCTGGGCCGCATGCCTGGTTTTGTACATTAGCTTGTTTCCCAGGTCCCAAGAGAAGCGGCGTGCTCAAAAGAGCAACACGCTGGGCTGCGATGTGTTTTGCGCTACCCTTGTTAGCACGCCCGAGAACACTGACGATAAAACCCATGAATCCTCTCATGTCTCTAAACCATGCCCTGGCCGAAGCCCCTGTGAAAACCGAAACCTGCAAGTGAAACCAACCTCAAACGAACCACTATACTCCGCACCTAAAACCCTAAGCCAACCCTAAACCCTCCGTACCCGCCTCAGACCAACCCTCAGCCCAAACCCGGAAATCACAAACCCTTCCGTGCCCCCAAACCCCAAGCCCTAAACCTTGTAAGCTCTTGTCAGCCCTGTAAGCCCTGTAAAACGCTATAAACCCCAACCCTGAACCTGAAAACCCTGACTAAACCTAGGGCTTTGAGGGCTAAACCCGAAACCCTAAATCCCAAACCCACCCTGAACCGCACACAGGGGCTTGGTGTGATCAGCTACGAGAAGCTCATCGAGTCACTTTCGGCCGGGGCGCTTGTAGGGATGGGGAGGTGGGGGATTCAGGGGGTTTGGGGTTCAGGGTCCGAAGCCATACACTAAACCTTAAACCTTAAACCCTAGTGTTGGGTTTCGGGTTAGAGTGTAGGCTTCTGGTGGGGTTTTCGGGCTTGTAGGAGCGGCGGAGAAATGGCTTCGTGGGAGCTCAGGGTGAAGGGCTACTAGGGTTTAGGGGTTGTAGGGAGGTGTTGGCGTCTGGGCCTTTTCTGATCAAGTCGCCTGGTCCCAAAGCAGCATTTTGCCCCTGGGCTTTTGGAGGGGAGTTAAGTCGTTTGGTGGTTGAGAGTTGACTAAACCCACTAGACGAAGCAAAACACCCCCCCACACCTTACTCATTACTAATTTCCAAAACTGAGGGTATAGGACCCTTCAGATACCGAGGTGGAGCAGAAGGCTCACTCCAGGCTAGCGGCTCAACTGGCCAAAGCGGGCGACATGAGGTGGGCGGCGGTTGCAGGGTCCCCGAAACACATAGGGCTTCGATCTGTTTGGGGTGTAGGGTTTTGGCTGAAAGTTATGAGGGCACCGGGTTTAGCACAGAAGGGTTTCAGGACTTTAGGGTTTAAGGTTTACAGTTTTTGGGCCTGGTGTGTTCGCAGCTTTCAGGGTGTACATTTACATGGTTTTGACCGCCAGGACTGGCGTTATATCTCTGGGGTTTTAGGGTCTCGCTGGCTTAGCGCTTCAGGGTTTCGACCCTTTTGGGTTTGGGCAAGAAGGTCTTCAAACCGAATGCCCTGAACTACGGCGCGACGCCTTGTACCCCAAACTCTATCCCCAAGGCTCAGAAGAGCACGTATTTAAGTGTACCTTTAGGCCACAAGAAAAGCCCTAAAATATCAGTTCTGTTAGTTCTTGGAAATGTGGGTGTTAGCATTCATTTCCTGAACTTTGGGTGAAACGGTAAGTTTGTAGGGAACACTTGAGCCATCTAAAGCCCCTAAGTCTCTACAGCCTTTCTGGACGCAATTTTCTAGGTACATGGACACTTCGTTTTTTCATTTGTTTTTTGATCTCACGGTCTGGGGTTTTAGGGTTTTTTGGTCTTGAGTTGCTGTCAAGATAGGTTTCCAAAGGGCCCCCTTCGTAAGTGTGCGAGGTTTTGGAGTTCAAGCTTAAAACCTGAACCCGAATCCTTAGGGTTCAGGGTTCTGACCCCTAACCCTAAACCGAAACCCTGAACCCTGAACCCTGCGTGGTAATTAGATGACTTCAGGGATTTCAGGGTTTCCAATAGATCTTTCACGCCATTGCAGGCAGGAGCTCGAGTACCTGCTGCAAAGCCGTGGGCCCTGTCCCAGTGCTCCCGGCATGGTGATCCCTCTGAACCCTAGACCCTACCCCCAAACCCTAAACCCTAAGTTTAGGGTTTGAAAGGCGTAGGGCTTATTGCTTAGGGTTTAGCATGCAAGTCCCTCAACCCAAACCCCTAAACCGGCTGGGGGTTACGTATGCAGCGCTTCGGGTTGGAGCGCGAGGGTGTGTCCTATACCCTGAACCCTAAACCCGAACCCTAAACGCTTTGCTTGGGGCCGGGGAATGTTCTGTCTTTACGCTAACTCTAAGTCTTTTTCTTGGGGAGGGGAATCTGTGTGTGGGGTGTTCGTCTTTCAGCACGATAGGTCCTAACCATTCGCCTAAACCCCAAACCCTCAACATCCCAGGACACTTCCCCACCCTCCCCCCCCACCCCCTTTGGGGGGGTTAGGGTTCTGGTTCCCCCCCCCCCCCCCAACCCGCAACTCCCCACATGCCAAATCCTAACCAGCCACAAACCTGCAAGTTCCCAGGCCTCAACCCCAAATCCGAAATCCCGGATGTCCATCAATGAATTCTCGTGACTCTTGAGGGTTTAGGGTTTAGGTTTGCGGGCTGAAGGCAGTCCTGGTGCCAATTTGGAGTAAAGTGCCGAATCTCTCGTATTGCTTGCTCAAATACAGGACCCGACAGGACCCAGTTATACACAACTGTAGTATACCTACCTAGACTAACCTTATACCTTTACAGAAAGAGAAATGTACTTCAACTGTGGGAAAATGCCAGTTTTCAAGGCGGGCTCGCAAGCCAAGCTTGGATTTCTGATCTAGGATCTGGCGGCCACTAGCCGACATGATTGCAGAGCTTCTGGGTTTAGGGTTTAGGGTTTAGGGTTTAGGGTTTAGGGTTTGGGGGTTTTTGCTTTCTTTTTGTTATGAAACCCTAAACCCTAAACCCAGGGCTCTCTGAGTTCATTTTTCCATGCCGGCCCCAGCAACACAAAAGCCGAAACCTCTGCTACACCTTTGGCTGGCAAGGCTGTCAATGCCTTAACCCAAAGCCCTAAACACAAAATGCCTACAAAAACAAGCCCAAACCCTACACTCAACACCCCAACCCCTAAACCCTAATCCCTAAACCCAAACCCTAAAGCTTGAACCCTGGCAATTTCTCCGGTTCCATGGCGCCACAGGCCCCAAACTTACGCTTGGACTCCCGGATAAACGATACCCTATATTAGATTTTTAAGATAATCATAATAATAACCATAAGCCCTCAAGAGGGGGGAGTGCTGAAGAGGGCTTAGAGGGTCTAAGCGTGCCGGTAAGTAGCCAAACCGATACCCTAAACACCTAAACCCCTAAACCCCTAAACCCCTAAACCCCTTAACTCCTAAACCCCTAACCCCTAAACCCCAAAACCCCTAAACCCCTAAACCCATGAGGACTTAGGAGAAAAGACGGTGCCATGGTGCTGCCCTGTGCGCGGGCTCTCGGGCAGAGGCCATGCAGGATATGGAGGCCTGGATTCTTAGGGTGTTCAGGGTTTAGGGTTTAGGGTTTAGGGTTTAGGGTTTAGGGTTTAGGGTTTAGGGTTTAGGGTTTAGGGTTTACGGCCAGGACGGAGAGTTCGAGGTCTAGAACTTGGGGCTTCGGGGTTTCGGGGTTTTAGAGTTTGGGGTTTGAGGGGTTTAGGGCTGTAGTTGTGTAAGAAGCCTTTCTTGGGACTCTATTCACCAACAGTTTGGTAGTAAGTGTTCTTATTTCGTAGCCATGACGGCACATCCCACAGCTCAATCTTTTATCCGAAGGAAGCTGGACAGATAGCTTCTGGTTGCCGGGCTACACCACAAACCTCAATCTTAAGCCTTCAACGCCGAACCCCAAAAGTCCGACAAGGCCCTCAGCATGTGGGTGGCTGTCAAAATGAGAGTCCCTTTTTGGATCCCGATGATAATACGGCACCTACTATTCAGGGTACCCCAAAAGGGATCAGAATTTGGATTTGACAACCACCCATGTAGACTCTAAGCCACCTAACTTGGTTCCGCTTCGGCAGTGGTTTCGCCGATTTGTCAGATGATTCGAGGGATAGCTGAAGCACCACAGCGCATATTCAGATGTGGTTTCAAACCCTAAACCCTAAACCCTAAACCCTAAACCCTATACCCTATACCCTATACCCTAAACCCTAAACCCTAAACCCTAAACCCTAAACCCTAAACCCTAAACCCTAAACCCTTGCCGGAGGCTCCGGCGTGGCTGTGTTCGCCATGCCGGTGTGCGAAGCGGGGCACCGAGGCTTTCTTTAGGGCTCTTTTAGGGCTTAGGGCTTCAAATTTGGGGTTTAGGGTTCTTGGGGTTTACGGCTTAGGGGTTAAAATTTGGGGTTTAGGGTTTTGGGGGTTTAGGGGTTAGGGGTTTAAGGTCTTTCTTCAGGGCGTTTTTAGGGCTTAGGGTTTAAATTTGGGGTTTACGGTTCAGGGGTTTAGGGGTTTAAGGTCTAAGGTTCCTTAGGGCTTGGGGTTAAGGTTGAGGGTTTTAGGGCTTAGGGTTTCGTTTAGGGTTTAGGCTCTAGTTTAGGGTTTGAGGGTTTGGGGCTAAAGCGTTTCAGGACTCTGTCGGGCTTATCCTTGGGGTTCAGGGTTGTTTGGGACTATGGGGCTGTGGGGTTTGCTGTTGTAGCTTGTAGGGTTTAAGGGCTTGGGGGTTAGGTTTATGGGGTTACAGGGTTATAGGGCTAGTGGGGCTTGTAGGTTTCGAGTTGTTGGCGTGTAGGGTTTGGGGCTGGGGGTATTGCTTCTGCAGGGCGATTGGCTTGGTGAGGGGTTTTGGGGGCATATAGAGTGCATTGGGCTTATTGCGATGTGTAATTGGGAAAGCGTGAACACGCGGTTCATTGGGTGAGGTTTTGTCCTTGTGTCGTAGGGTTTAGAGTTTAGGCTGTAAAAGGCCGGCAAGGTTCGGAGCGTTGCAGCAGCATATGGCATATGGCGTTCATGGACTGCGCCGGTATGTGTGCTTGTTATGGTTTTTGTGATCAGGGCGCGCGCCGGGCGTACGCCGACCCTAAACCCGAAACCATCCAAAGCCCTAAAGCCTAAACCCCAAACCCTAAAAACCCCAAAAACCCTAAACCCTAAACCCTAAACCCTTAGTGCGGGTCCCCTCCTTTCTTGTAGTTGTTGTTGCAGGACGAGGGTGGCGGACCCTCCTCCCTCTCAAGAGACGCTGCGCCAGCGCCTCTTTGAGGCAGAGGGATTAGGAGGGCTTCGGGTTTAGGGTTTAGGGTTTAGGGTTTCGGGTTTAGGGTTTAGGGTTTAGGGCTTTGGAGGTTTTGGGGTTTCGGCGTATCAGGGGCGGTTTTAGCGTTAGAGTTTAGGTTTATATAGGGTTTAGGGCTTAGGGGTTTCAGGATGGTGTTAGCGTGTGGGTTTCGGGCTAGGGGGTTGTGGAGTCTGCCTCTTTTCGGGTCAGAGATGAGGGGGTTTAGCAAGACGCCCTGAACCCTCAACCTAAAGTTTAGGATTTGGGGTTTAGGGTTTAGGGTTCAGGGTTTAGAGTCCAGTAGACCCCAAACTCTCCGAAGCACTTGGGCGCAGGTGGGTGCGGAGCAGCACCTGACGGAGATCCTCCAAGCGCTCCGGGGAAGGCGCGCCGGCCGAGTCGAGGCGTCACTCGACCCGAGCAGGGTTTAGCGTTTAGGGTTTAGGGTTTAGGGTTTGGGGTATAGGGTTTAGGGTTTAGGGTTTAGGGCTTAGGGTTTAGGGTTTAAGCGCATTTGCGATAGAAGGGCAACATGGCCACCTCTCTACAATCATTAGGGTTCCCTTTTTTCGGTACCCCACAAAAAGCCGGGCATTACTAAAAAGAAGATCTAGAAGAAAGTCATGCAATGTAATGCTTATATTATAGAAGTTCTTGTTTTCTGGAGATATAATCCCATTTCCAATATCATTCTATTCATATAAGGACTGATACTCATGTTCTGGAGATTCCAAAGATGAGTCCAGATAATACATAATAAATGCCTAATAAGCCTTTCTGATTACAGTTTTGAACTAGTGGCGTACTTTGTTCATTAATTCGCTCATTTGCCTGTAATATTACATTCACGCGCAAATGCACTCATTACACTCACTTCATCGTTATAATATTATCTTGACACTATAACCGCTTTCCTCACGCACTTGTTCCCCCCAGAGAAGCTTATGAGAATATAACTACGAAGAGAGCACATCAACCCCCTAAACCCCTCAACCCCTAAATTCCTAAACCCAAACCCCTAAACCCTAAACCCCTAAACCCCCCAAACCCCAAACCCCTTCACCCTAATTAAACCCCTAAACTCCGAAACCCCTCAACCCCTAAAGTCCTAAACCCCTCAACCCCTAAATTCCTAAACCCAAGCCCCTAAATCCTACAAACCCTAAACCCCTAAGGCCTGAGGCTCGCCCTGGCCGAGCACGCGGTTTACGAGGGCTTGCTCTACAAGCACCGGTCCTTTGGCAGAAGCCCTAAACCCTAAACCCTAAGCCTTAAGAGGACCCCCGGCCGTAAGTAGGAACCAGGGCTTCAGGTTTGGTTTGTAGAGGCATGCTGATTCTTTCTGAAGCCGTCGAGTGCAAACGTTTTCGCTGCTAGCTACCGGTAAAGATGAGGGGGAGGGGGGGGGTTGCCGGTTACGACAAATTATGATTCCGATCTCTCACTATTCTACTAACTATTTTCTAAGAACCACCCCCAACAAATATGAATATTCTTCCTGATTAGGGCAGAAGAGTTCGCCTCCCTTTGACCCCCCACACCCTCCAATCTGCTGCCCTCACCAGGCACTTTACAATGTTGATGGCCGGCTTGGGGCGGCGGAGTTTGTGGTCGGAGGCGCTCACCCTAAACCCTAAACCCTAAACCCCAAGAGGATGAACCTTAAGCCCTAAGCCGGAAAGGGTTTAAGGATTTAGGGATGTAGGGTTTGGAGATTCTGTATGGTATATAGGGTTCAGGGTTCAGGGACACCGCCCTTATAATGCCCTACGCCCCAACGCACTGCCTGGGCGCCTCCAAATAGGCAAAAATAAGAGCTTGTGGGTGCTTAGTAGGGTTCAGGGTTTAGGGCTTAGAGCGGTAATGGCCGTGTTGAGAGCAATTCAGAGGTATACAGAGAGGGGCGCCCTGGAATAGATTAACGCCAAGTGAACGGACTCATAATTCCCAAGCCCTAAACCCTAAACCCTAAACCACAAACCCAAAAAGCGCGAATGCTTCATCTGCAGGTTTCGGATGGTCCCTGAGAGGATCTAGCCACCAGGCTTCGTACCCCAAACCCCAAAAACCTGCACCCTGAACCCCTAGCACCCCCAAACCCCCAAAACCCTAAAGAAACCTTCGCTCTTAAGCCTTAAAACCCTAGAAACCTTAGAGCCCTAGAACCCTAAAACCCTGGAGCCCAAAAACCCTAAAACCTTAAAGCCCTGAAACCCCTGAGCCCGGAACACTACATGTTATGGGAGCGCGTCAGGGTGATCCTAGGTCCCTGAATTCCGGTGCTTGGAGGTTCAGGGTACTTAGTAACCCAATTCAAAGTGTAGTTATAGCCCACTTATAAGCCCCTTAAGAAGCCTAATAAGCCTAATAGTTTTATATAT